CTTTATAAGTCAGATGAGATCAGTTAAAGCTGGGCAGGTTTGACTTGTGGAGAGAACAGGAAACGAGGAGCATCTGCCTTTACTTTCTTTTTTGCATAAAACCCGTTGCCAAACTTGTGCATCGATTTAGCTGAAGGAAGGAAGTAGTGTTTTTCACCTGTTACCCTGCTGTGGGGAATAAAACGCACGTATGGGGACTTTACATTGCTTCAGTGTTTCCAGCCACAACTCGGCTCCTCTCACTCGCACACACAGCGACACTTTTCACCATAAACCACAATGCTCGGAGGGATCCTGGTCGAGGTGTTACACGGGCTGTACATTTAAGTCGAGTCCCGTTACCTGCCATAGTCCTGAGCTCCACAATCAGTAGTATGGACAGTCGCTGTAGGGAGACTCTGAGCTGCTGCTTAGGGTGGTTTCTAGTTGCAAGTAAACTTTACAGACCTCTTCGTAACGTACTTTTTAAAAAAGCATTTTCATTTAAATAGGCCATGTATGCATTTCTAACCGTCCTCCCTGTTTCTGCCACTTTTTTGATTAATACAAAAATTTTTAAATGTAAAAATATTTCTAACCATATTCAATTTTGTACCATCTCGATACCACTAATCATTTTATGAAGGCTGTAATCCAACAGTCAAGTAACCCGTTGTTTAAAAGCACCTACTTCCGGGCAAGCGAGAAAAATAAAATAATAATAAACTATAGCAGCGTAAAAATTTCGAGCCTTGCAAATATACCTTAGAGAAAAAATCGACAATTTAGAGAAAAGATATACTATGTGTTTGTGTCCACGTTAACCAAAAGGCCCACTATAATTTTGAAGGAATTTTACTTCCGATATAGTTTTGTTTTTTCACGTTTCCTTTATCATAGAATTTGCTTTACAAGAATGGCTATTCCCATTTAAACGCAATCTTTATGTTCAGCTAGAATACCAGTGATGTACACATAACCAGAACTATTCAGATCCTTCACCTAATAAAAAGTAGTAATACCACAGTGTACGAATATTCCGGTAAAGGTCCTGCATTCATGTTAGTTAAGTAAAAGTACAAAAACGTATTAGCATCAAATTGTTGGCTATTTGAAGTGCCAAAAATGAGAAGTACTTATTGGGCAGAATGGCACATTTTACATTAATGTTGCAGCTGATAAAGGTGGAGCTAATTTTATAATCTTATAATTTGCCCAACTTTACGTACTGCTGAGTAGATTGTGACATTAGTAACGTTTTATAATGATAAAGTTTTGTTTTATTCGTTTGATTCTGAAAAGTAACCAAAGCTATCAGATAAATTTAGAAGACTAACTACAGTAGCTGCCTACGAAATGTAATGAAGTCAGTGTATGAAGTAGGAGAAAATGAAAATACTCAAGTAAAATACAAATAGGCAACTTCAAATTGTACTTAAGTAGCACACAGTATTATACTTGCGTAAATGTACTTAGTTACTTAACTGTTAAACTGCAGTAGCCCATTTGTTTTAATCGACACAATGTTGATTCGAAAATCAACAATTGGTGAAGGCGTTAGTTTAATAGTTAACATTATTTCATAATCAAAATAATTTATTGTAGACTAGGAAAAGTTCTTAATTTCAATTGAAACAACGTTAGAGACTGCCTACAAAACAACAATACGCCTTTATGCGCGTTCATTCTATGTAATCCAGTTCTGCGTCTTCTCTGCCTTTACGTGCCCTCCGTTCTCTCGCGAGACCGAAGCAGCACATAAATCTCGCAGTGATGGCTGCACCGCCCGATGTGGAGAGTTTGGAATCTCGTATCAGTGAGTATTTAAAACAAATTTTACCGAGCCATTATTGTCTGGAGATCCGGACACTCACTAATTATTATTCGTGAGATGTCGTTAATGAGATGACAGCTCACCACAGCTGCGCGTATCCCACAGAGGAGACTCGGACCCTGCCGTCACAACCAGGATGCTAACCTAGCTCCGGAGCTGCTGTGCCTGCCAGCTGTCAACACACAGCGAGTCAGGGATAGCTTTAGCTTCCTGGCCGTGTAGCTCAACCAGGTGGTGGGCAAGACCAAGGGCCATATTTTAGTCACAGGTTCGATTATGGCTATTGGAAAGCAGTGGCCTCGTAAGAAAGTTCAAAACGAGACAGTGACACAAAGCGAGTGAGCTAACGTTAACGTACAGGGTCGACGTTACTGTGTACGGTGACATGTTGGGTTTATGTGGCACTGACTTCATGACATCGTGGAGTTACTCAGAAAGCCTGCAGCTCCTCTGGGGTGTCCGTGGGTGCGTGGTTTGGGTTTTGTATGTTAAAACCTGAACATTTTAGACACAACATCCTTTTCTATAAACGATAAACGCTTTTTATATAAATGTTGATGCATTAGTCCAAAACAGAAACTAACATATTCTGAGCTGACTAACTACTCCTCTGGTCTACACCTAAGACCAGAGTGTCAAAACAATAACCTAGCAGGCAGAGATGTTCAGTTCATTCAGCTGAAGAAGTTAAATAACTTCCAAAATATAGATATTTGTACTGTGATGCATACGAGAACACTTCAGAATCAGAATAACAATACATGTAATAATAATGAATCAAGGAAAAGATCTTCCCTCATCCACGGGGAAGATGTGACACACAAACTCCAATTCAGGTACTCAAGTGAATTGCTGATAATAAAAGGCCTTTAACAAACACGGGCCAACACATTAATAACACCAGCACCTATCTGTACACCTGCCTTTCTCAGAATGTCCCAACTTCCTGTTTCATCCCTTTCAGAGCTCACCAATGGTGGTGAAGGACACCAGAGGTGCTTTTGTTTTTTTGTAAAACCCATTTTACTTGTATTGCTACTGTAAAGTAAAATGCTGTGCTGTCTGTCTGACGTCCCATTTTCCGACATTTCAGACAGAGCCACCAACCCACTGAACAGAGACACAGACTGGAGCAGCATCCACGCTTTCTGCGAGCAGCTCAACAATGATTTGGAGGGGTGAGGAGAGGCCACAGAGCTTCAGTCCTGTATTATGGTCTGGTTGTTTTCATTCCAGTGCAACTGCTGTTTTCTTATTTCTGACCCTAAAGCCACAGTTTCTTTTCCTTCCATCTATTGCTTATCTGATATCAGGTCATGGTGGCAACAGGTTCAGTAAGGTAGTCCAGACGTCCTTCTCCCCGGCAACATTTTCAAGCTCCTCTGGTGGGATTCTGAGGTGTTCCAAGGCCAGATGAGACGTATATTCTCTCCAGCCTGTGGAAAATAGCACATCAAGTTGCCTGTCTAGGAAGCAAATAATTGATTTGATGTTATCATTGAAACACTGAAAACATGTTTACTGTATCTATTCAAAGTCCCATAGTATGATTACAGTGATAAAAAGCAAGCATCTGCTCACTTGTCCTCCCTGGTTCACGCAGCTCTGGATGTTCACGCTGGTTTGTGCCATGTGTTACAGACCTCAGCTGGCCACCAGGCTCCTGGCCCACAAGATCCAGTCCCCACAGGAGTGGGAGGCCATGCAGGCTCTGCTGGTGAGTGCAGGATGTCAGTCACTATCAGCTGCCTCAGTAATGCTCATTCTGGTTTTCAGTGCAAACTTTGTGTCCCATCTGATTTTCTGTTCTACCAACCATAAGAACAAATGGAACTTTTGTAGTTACTTACATTTTGGAATGGAAACTAGCTCGTTTATAGTGGTTTCATTGATAGAAAATCACAACATTTGGCAGATTTGATCCAAAGTTTGAAGCCTCTGGTCCTGCTGTTTTCAGATTTTTATGCTTTCTTGTTTATTGCATTGTGTTTTATAACAAGGTTTTGGAGGCGTGCATGAAAAACTGTGGGAAAAGGTTTCACAGTGAAGTGGGCAAATTCCGTTTTCTCAATGAACTCATCAAAGTAGTTTCTCCAAAGGTAAAATGTTCAGCGTGTCTCTGTGTGTGCAGATTTTTCAGTTTTGTGTGTGCATCTGTAAATCACTCTGTTGTTGTCGTCACCCTCCCACTCAGTACCTGGGCTCGCGGTCACCAGAACCAGTAAAAAAAAAGGTTTTGGAGTTGATCTACAGCTGGACTTTGGGGCTTCCTGATGAGACCAAGATCTCTGACGCCTATCAGATGCTGAAGAAACAAGGTAAGAGGCTGTCTGCCTTCAGATGAACAGAATGACAACCTCCATGTCCACATGTATTTGGACTAAATTCTTTACAGGAAGTACAGTGGTGAGGAATGTTTGAGGCATTTCACTCTAGTTCATGTTCTCTTTACACATCAGGTATTATTAAACAAGACCCAGAACTGCCTCCTGACAAACTACTGAATCTCCCTCCACCCAGACCTAAGAATGCCATTTTTGAGGATGAGGAGAAGTCAAAGGTAAGAACTAGCCTGTTAAATGAAAATAATCTGGTATTTGAAATGATGCTTTCCAACATGAGGAAGTGTGTGAGCTGAGCCGGTTTCTTCTCCAGAGTCAGTGTCTCTGTCTGCTTTGTCAGTTGCTGTCTCGCCTGTTGAACAGCTCGCACCCTGACGACCTGAAAGCCGCCAACAAACTCATCAAGGAAATGGTCCAAGAGGTAAAACTTCAGTCCTTCCTAGGCCTTTTCAGACATGCACTGGAACCCTCTCTAGACAATATGGGGGGAGCTGTATCGCAGATGTCCAAGTCCGTCAACCTGGACCTTAAGCGGACTTTACTCTGCCAGCTCCCAAGTATATAGTTGGCATAAGGTCCGAGTGAGGCCATGTGAGAATACAGCAGCATCTAGTAGTATTCACAGCAGCGCATGTTGTTGATGTGACTGGTGTGAAACTGGAAGAATACAAACATCTGATGGTGAAGATAAACAGTCATTTAAAATCAAGACACCAATAAAAAATCACTAACTGGCAATACAGTGAGATTTAGAAACTTCTGTCATTGTGAGCCAGTTCCAGAATTGTCAGACAAGTCAGGGGACTCGGTTGTTTGTGACCAAACTACAAACTGACTATGTGAGCACATCGTGTCTCGCCTCCTGCTCGCCCTATCTGTCATGGCCCCACGCATACACCAAACATATTCCCAGCAGGTGAGAATGCGTCTGACATGGCCTAGGGCAACTCGGGACAAAGTCCAGGCCTGATCCTGCAGACACAGTGTGGTGTTTGTGTAAAAACAGCTTCTCTTGCACATTAACTGCACCACCAGTTTTTAGCTATGCAGATTTGTCAGCCTAGTGTGTGTGATCTTTAAGGAAAGGACTTAAATGCCAGAGTACTGCACTCACAGCAGGAGCATTAACTAAATGAGGAAATGGGCTGGCCGCTCCCACGTGGTTTTGTGTGTCACTGGCTGGGAGTCCGCAGGGGATGTTCCTTGTGAGCTGCTCTTTGCTCTTATGCCCATGTCAACAGGCCTTACCTGTGAATTAATGCCTTTGGCTGTGTTTTGGTTTTGTGTGGTTCTGGAGCTTGGCTCACATGTCTGGGGTCACACCCTGCCGTGTGCTCTTTGTGAAGTTGTCTTTTGCCTGTTGCAGGATCAGAGGCGAGCAGAGAAGGTGTCAAAGAGGGTGAACGCCATTCAGGAGGTGAAGGAGAGTGTCACTTTGTTGACCCAGCTTCTGCAGGACTACGACAGCACCGCCGGCAGCCAGAGCAATGCTGACCTCATACAGGTGAACTGAAACACAGGCAGAGGGAGGTCAGTGTGTACACAACTTGATAGGAAGTATCTAATGTGGAGTGTGTGCTGTGTGGTCAGGACCTGTACCAGCGCTGTGAGAAAATGAGACCGACACTGTTCAGACTGGCCAGTGATACCGAGGACAACGATGAGGCTCTGGGTGAGTGTTCACTCCTCTGCCCTTGAATATCATATAAATGGGGAATGAGCTCAATTTCTTTGCTGCAGAAATGTTTATAGCTCTATTAGACCTCAGCAGCCAGAGCAAAAGCCAGTGGTCAGTATTAGTTTGTAGCATTTTAGATGTTTGTCATCTTCTTTAGAAGTTTCCAGCAGACTGAAGTCGGCCATTCATTTTGTCTACACTAAGATCTTCTTCTGTCCTTCCACAGCGGAGATCCTGCAGGCCAACGACAGCCTGACTCACGTCATCAACCTGTACAAACAGCAGGTGAAGGGGGAGATGGTAAATGGCAACAACACATTAAACCCACAGAAACAAACAGGTGGGTGGAGCCTGGAGCACACGGGTGCATGGCTCGTTTAGTGGACAAAGATTTAAAGCTTTTGTCTGAATCAGTTAAATTTGCTTCTCGCAGGACGGACAGCACTGCTGGATCTGTCCGGACTGGACACTTCACCCCAGTCACCTCCTTCCTTCCCAGAGTTCCCCACTCCAACAGACAGCCTCAACGCCCCCTCACAGGAGATGGGACTCAGTCTTCTTGATGACGAGCTCATGTCACTCGGTAACAGCATGTCAGACTCCACCTGTGCTTGAAATGGAGTGAAAACACAATGAAAGGGTTACTTATTCCTAAATAGTTCTGCCACTCTGTACATCCCACAGGTTTAAGTGAAGGAACACACACCTCCAACCCTCCCTCACAGCCCGAGGATTCTACAGCCTGGGACTCCTTCCAGGTAAGCGCAGCGAGAGAACTGACGGCCCACTGACAAGTTGTTTTGAGTCAAATCACTGAGACACCTCTTCCAATAAACCTCTCACACTCCAGTCCTCTGACAGCATAGATGCAGACATCGTAACAGGACCCAGTCTCCTCCTGAGTCCAGACCCTCCCTCGCACTCTCAGCCCATTTCGTCTGGCTCCACCCCTGGGAACACAGCCCTGGACGAGCTGGACCTGCTGGGAAAGACACTGCTGCAGCAGTCCCTGCCTCCAGAGGGCCTGCAGGTCAAATGGTATTTAACTAACACTGCTCTATACCAACACATCTGCTAAAACTGGGGGAAAAGCAAGATGGCCCAAATATTTAGTAAGTTTTGATTAGCTGGGCGTGTCTGCTTAAGCACTAACATGATTAAAAAGATCCAAGCAACAACCTTTAAAAAGCCTCTAATGCTGCATGGTTTGTAAAAATGGGGATTTGAAGCTTTTCTTTCTTAATTTAACCAAAATTAAATGATTTTAACTATCATTAAGATTACATACAGTAAAACATGCCTCAAGCTTGGTTATGTCTGCACTGTAATGTAGGATGGAGAATCCTGTGAAAAGCATAGAGGCGAGTCATTTTTCTGCTTGCAGGGACAAGCAGCAGTCCAAACCAACTCTGAGAGATCTCCAGAGCAAGGCTGGGGCCAGCATCACCCCTCACCCCCTCCTGGCCTTTGTCACTGAGCATCCGGCACCTTCCGTCAACTCTCAGCCCAACCTTGGAGCTACATTACTGCACGTGTCCCCGACTCACACAGAGAGTTTGCCAGCCGAAGTCACCCTGGCTGATGTTTTTGTACCGCTAGAATCCATTAAGCCCAGTAAGTGACATCCCTTTTATGCTTGTGCCCACCTAGATGTGCACTCACGCCATCCGTTTCCTTCCTTTCTGCAGGTAGTCTGTTACCGGTGACTGTGTTTGATGGACACAGTTTGCGGGTTCTCTTTCACTTTGCTCGTGAATCGCCCCCATCTCGTCCTGATGTGCTGGTGGTGATCATCTCCATGCTGTCCTCGGCCCCTGTCCCCGTCACCAACATCAGCTTTCAGACTACTGCTCCACAGGTCAGATGAGAGCTTTAGACACACACACGGTTCATATCATAAAGACACTATCACTAACTGATGTTTCATTTATCACTTGTAGTCCATGGCAGTGAAGCTGCAGCCTCCATCAGGAACAGACCTCCCAGCTTTCAACCCCATCCTTCCTCCTGCTGCTATCACACAGATCCTACTGCTGGCAAACCCAAACAAGGTAGGCCAACGTTTGGAGCCATGGAGACGCAGGTGTTCATCTTTTAAAATGAACCACTAAGCTGCCTTTCATTGTCTAAACCCTTCTCAGAATTCCTTAACTGTTGATAACAGTAATCAGTGTGGTTTTGTCAAGGGTCTGTTTTTAAATGTTATTTCACTTTCTTTGCTGGATAATTATTAAAACAGCAGTGCTGCATTACTCTGCTTACTTTTAGTCAGATGACATCCACATGAAGGAGTGGGAAATAATCCCTTAAAAAAAAAAGCTACCCTGCACACCTTCACTCTCCTGTCTGCTTTGCAGTACATCAGGCTCCAGCCAGATTAGACACTAAGGTATTACTCTAAAAAAAAAAACAACAACAAAGGAAATCAAATGACAGCTTGAATTACTTGAGGTTGAAAGGCAGAAATGTCACTTAGGCCCTGTACTGCCACCGTCAGACTGACATGGCTGTCTGTATCTCTGAGGTTTTCTGAGTCATGGCAGTGAGATTAGTCCTGATGTTAAACCACCTCTCCTGTCCTCTGTGTGTGTGCTACAGGAGAAAGTGCAGCTGCAGTACACATTAACCTTCACCATGGGAGAGCAGGAGCACGGCGAGAGCGGTAGTCTAGAACAGTTTCCTCCTCCGGAGACGTGGGGGAATCTATAGCATTTAAACACAGCCCCAACCTGACAGACTCTGCTTCCCTCCTGAACCAACTCAACACTTTGCATAAGCCTGTTTTCCTTTCTAATCACTCTGTACTTTTTTGATTGATATCGTTTTCCTTGGATTACACTCATGCTCAGTGTAGTGTGTGTGTATGCTTTGCTTTGAGTCGTGTGTCTACGTCTGCTCTATGTGGCTGCTTTAAAACAAACCTGCAACTGCATCCTTACAGTTATCGCAGTCTTGTCATCTTGCTTTTAACAGACAGTGCCAGGATGGGATAAAAAAAAAAAAACCAAAATCAAATGTTTGCATAATTGCTCGTGGTGTATTTGATTTTATTTTTCTCCCCCCCTAGGGGGCAAAGAATTGAAATCCTTTTGAGTTGCATTACTGTTCACCTTGGCATGCTCTGATTGCAAAGTCGAGCACACCAGGAGAGAAAGGACATTACTACACAGACACGGTTTATCTTAGTTTGCAAAACAAAGCTACACTTAATCAGCTTTGCGAGGTATTTATTTTACTGTGTCACTTTTTATTCCTCACTGTCAGATTTGCACAGAGAACAATCTTTTCCCTTTCTCCATCTTAGCAACAAGTGTTTTTTTTTATCTGCCATATGTGCCTATTTTACAGTTCTACCATTATTTAATTTATATATCTAGATGGATTTGGTTTTCCACAACTGTTACATGTCAGCCACATGGTTTGTAGCCTAATATATTGAAATCATCTTCAGTAGGGTATAACTTCATTTTTAACTAATCTTTCTTTAGCTTGTCATTTAAGTTAATATTTTAGCATTTATTGGGTAAAACTGACTATCACAGACGTGAGCATATGCAAACTGATGGTGCTTAGCGTGTACACCTCCAACATGTTCATCTTGTTCCTACAGTCTGTGATGCATGTCAGCCGCGCTCAACACTTCCTCCTGTCTGCAACCTTTCAATCACATTCCACTGCACTAATCCAATATGACTGCGTTGTAAATACTAACGGTGGCAGTTCTGGTATGTACATTTGACTCGTGCAAGAGCACAACACTGGTAAAATATTCCAAATAGGTAATAAAGTGTTTTCTTGGTGACCTGAAGTCATGCTTGTTGGTTGGAACAGTGGTTCTGCTCCACAGTAAAATACCTAAAGCTACAATCCACCTCCACAATTCTAGGGTCAAGGATACAGAGTGCACAGTGATACAGTGAAGAGCTTTATTAAATGTGAAAAACTGTAAAAACAGACTATTAGCTAGCAAAATCTCAATGCTACAGCAACACTTCACCACACTGGTGACCAACTGAATGAGGCCTCAGATTAATAAACGTGTGAGAGAGAAAGTTCATTTACATGTGACTTAACTGGTGTCATGATTACACAAAGCCTCTCTGCCTTAAGAGGCCTAAAGTAACGTGTGTCATGAAATCAAGTTTACAATGTTAAAAAAAAAACCATTATGGAAAAACATCACTTTAAACTTTTCCTCAAGTTATGTCAGGATGTCCATGTTTTCTTAAACAGCTGACTTGTGTCTTCAAAGGTTTCAAAGCCCAAAACAAAGATACTGAACCTAAAACAGGAACAAGCTCCGTTACACAAACTAATTTCAACGTCTATCTTTGATACAGCTTAAGGGAAACTCAGATACTCGACACCGTCTGAGGCGGATCACAATACAAAAGCATCACATGCACAATGTTCTTTTGTCCTAAGTCAGTCAGGACACAGCAAACTTCTATTAAAATAAATAATGCTGCCTAATTTGACTTTAAAAAGTCAAAACCGAAAGGAGTCAACCACCTAAACAAACTAGGAATCAGTCTAAATGTTTTAAACTTCCGCAGTAACAGGTTTTGAAAACACAGTGCACAGATGTGTTGCAAGAAAACCAGCTCCTCAGTGGAATGTTGTTAGTTGATGCCACAAACCAAGACATTCCAGCCCGATTCTGACACAGTCGGTGTGAGTGTTGTGTGAGTTGTACTGTGTGTTTACTTTCTGCCTGAGGGAGGTGGTGGTGGTGGAGGAGCAAACTGGAATGGCGAGTGTCCCATCAAGCCCATCATAGGCTGAGGAGGGTTGAACTGCTGGGCCATCAGAGGCTGGGGGCCTGACGAAGGAAGCGGGGCCTGCCCTGCTCCACCAGCTCCTGACCCAGCGGCGCCCCTGGGGCTGCCGGACTGTTTTTTTGTTGTTCTGGTACTGGTCGTATGAGTTGGAGCCGTAGCCATGTCCTCCATCCCTGCTACTGCGATCTCTGTAAGAAGAGGAGCGGTCTCCATCCCGGCTGCTCCCTCCGCGGCTATCTCGGCTGTAGTTGCTAGTGCCTCGGTTGTCCTTAGAGCTGCCACCCCCGCCCACGGAACGCATTCGCCGATCACACTCGTCTTGGTACATCAGATTGGGATTGTTAGAATTAGAGCTGCTACGGAAACGGGAGCGGCCACCTGGAAATGAAGAGAGAGTGTGGACAAATAGAGAGTAAACTTCCATTATACATTCAGGGAGGGAGCCACTTGCTTTCAAACACAGTCAAGGGCATTTTCTGTTCCATTATGGTGTTTTTATCCCATCGTTCACAATACAGTCACACCTGGCATTAGAACAAATACCAGATTACACCCCAGCCAAGTCAAAACTGATTCCTCAGCAGCTAAACTATTGAGGCACCATATGTAGCCTATCCATCCATCATCTATACCGCCTATTCCTGAACAGGGACATGGGGAGGGGATGGAGCCAATCCCAGCTGATACTGGGCAAGAGGCGGGGTCCACCCTGGACAGGTCCCATTTCAGCCTATATTAATCTAATCCATCAGGAGGTGTCCCTCACCTCCTCCACGTCCAGTGTCAACCAGCTCCAGCAGTTTGGGATTTATGGCCTGTCGGGCCTCCTCCAGCACCCGGATCAGTTCACGGGCCTGGCGGAGGTTCCCCGGAGTGAAGAAGGTGTAGGCAGTGCCTTTGTTAGTGCTACGGGCTGTGCGGCCGATGCGATGGATGTAGTCCTCTGATGAGTTGGGATAGTCGTAATTGATGACAAACTTGACATCCTCCACATCTTTGAGCAGCAGTAGGGTTGGGAAGGGATGGTGTATCAGTCACAGGGACGGAAAAGACACAAACACAAGTCAGAACAAAACTAATATTGGTTAGGAAGTGACTCACTCAGTTTACTTCATTCTGTGCTTTTGAAACTGGAACATTCAGACAGACAATACCTGGAAGACACCCAGCATCACTTACCTGTCAAATGATCAACTAGCTGTACATTGCACAATTAGAAAATGGTGGTACTTACCCTGTCAATTACAAAACAGGGCTAGATAATCTCATTTAATAAAGTATTTCCACACATGCAAACAGGTCACATGCAGCCTCAGCTACAGATCAATTGATTTAAGTGATGAAAAAATGTACAGTGGTTTATTGTGAAATAAAAAAAATAAAAAAAACTAATTTTGAGAGGCAGGTGACCCTAAAATTACAGAGCAGCAACAGATTCATCAGTCTAAATGGATTGTGGATTAATGGTTGAAGTGTAAGGAAGCCTATTTCTTTTTTTGGAAAAAAAAAATCTGTTCAAAACAAGTTAGAGGTCTGTTTCTCATTACAGTTGACAAAGGGCTCAGAAAACACTGCTCATTCCAGGAAAAACACGTCTTATTTTGGAAGCATAATGACAGGCTGGTGGAGAACATAGGGAAGGGAGGTTGAGGTACAGTACTTACCCTGCATGAGAGATTTAGTGATGCTTATAAAGATAGCTCCCTGTCCCCCTACCCGTCACCAGTCCTGGGAGGTCTGCAGGGGTAGGAGGAGAGCACGCAGGACAAAAGCAGTCCCTTCTCCCACCTCGCCACTCCTCCACAACACTCCCAAAGCTGGAAACTCCCGCTGGACTGTGCTGGGGTGCGGTTCTACACTAGTCCTATCTGTGCCTCTTCATGTCCCCCAGCCTTTATTGATATGGACGTAGCATGCTGGGTTATGCTCTCTCTAGTACAAGGTGATGGGTGGAGAGAACCTGACAGATTGTGTCATGTAAACTAATCAAGAAGTGGAGTAGTGGAACGGGAGACTTTCCTATGGGCTTAGACTGCTGTGGCTGGTTCCAAATCCTCCCAGGTCACTTCCAAGGGCAGTCGTATCACAGAGCCCAGCTTTTCAAGTTTAGTAACAAGAAACAGACACTACAGGGAAGATGTGTGGACATTTCTGTAAGACGGCTAAAGAGCGAATTTGAGTCTTGACAGTTTGTGGACGGTCTTAGCAATACATTAAGAGCTGGTGAATTATTTACACACTGTACTCGTGGTCTGGTATGTATACAAAAAAGGCCTAACTGATAAAGGTGGGGGACACAGTGAATTTGGGGATAGGGGACCAAAAAAAGACAGGACTCAAGTCAGGTCAATGATTTAAAGAAAACAAGATAACGGGAGAAAAAAGAAGAGGCTGAAAAGGAAGGGTACTGGAAGGAGGTAGACAAAACAAGATGGATAAGGAAAGGAAACATTAAGAAGGGAGACAAAAGGTGACTAAGACAGAAGAAAGACATGATGTGTGAGAAAGGCAGAAAACTTCAGTCAAGAGACAGAACAGGAGTGAATAGGAGGGGTATTGATTACAGAGAGGTGGCTCCTCCAGGCCAGGACTCCTGCCAGCCAGGACCAGACATGACGTCCGCAGAGGGAGAGGCCGGCCAGCACAGCCAGTGGTGGGGGGTGTCAGGGACTGGCATCAGGGGGCAGATCAGAGGGGCGCTTCCAGCAAAGCCGTCCATTCCCGGCTTTGGCTGCTTTCCACCCTGACTTCCTGGCAGTTGTCTCTTCTTGTAATGCACCAGTGTATATCAGCTTCACATAACTTAGAGATTACCTTTGTAAGTGTGGGACCAATTTGTTTAACAATTTCGTTGCCAAAGGTTTGGTATTGGGAATGAAAATGAATCTCCTCATCCATATCCCATCAGAATAAACACACACGTACTAAGAACCTGTCAGAAGTCTCTGGGTGAAACTGAGTTCATCCAATCAGGAAAGGGTGTGGCGTGTCACTGTGATGATGGCAACGGGAGCACACCCTCCTCCACACCCCCTCTTCACCCTCTCACCTGACAGCCGCCCCCCGACCCTAGGATCAAATTTGGAAGCCCAGCAGCACCCCACACTCGCCCCCCCCATCACCCAGGGAGCCAGAGTTCTGGAAAGGGGGGAGAGTTTTGTTTGAGGGCCCTGTTCTAGGTTTTCAGCAGAGATGGCTGTATGTGGGACTGATTAATCAGGCTGTCTCTCTCCCCAAGTCAGCTTTCGATTTGTCATGCCTAGGTCCGGCTGCAGGCTCCCGAGGGCCTGTGTGCTTGTAGTTGCCGGAAGAGAGACTTGGAAACAACAAACAAACAAAAACAAAATGAAAGAAAACAAATGAACATAGAATTAGGTTAAAGGTCGACTGCCATCCTGTAAGGGGCTGCTTCACTAGCCTCACCCCTTACATCTTCACACTTCATTCAATATCATTCCTACATTCAGTGGTTCTCAGTGTTATTCAAAGCAACGTGACTTAATACTTCTTAGATACACACTTCATCTGAGAAGTATATATTTGAAAAATGTTTTTGTGGTTGGCTTTAGAAATCTACTGTCAATAACTATGCAGCGAAAAGCCTAATTATTACACTGATCATTGTTTATATTATTCTACATATTAAATAGTCAAATATACTGTATGTACGATTATGCTGAGGTATTTATTTGCTTTACACTTGAGCACACGTGACATACCCAAACCACGGGAGGCGACGTCAGTAGCGATGAGGATAGGAGCTTTGCCGCTACGGAACTCTGCAGCGTGAGACAAAGACCAGAACATCACAGTGAAAGAGACAACAAAGAAAAGGGAACAATACTACACATAAATCTCTGTAGTTTGTTGCACCTGACAACACCCAGTCTCTCTCTGGCTGGCTCTTGTCACCATGAATACACATCGCTGGCCACCTGGAATCAGAACCAGCCACCGGTCAGTTTTAACCACCTGCTATCACTGTGGCTTTGAGTTTTTTAACAATACTCTTTTGATCCCTGCAATAATGTACACCACAGAGCTCTTGGTCAAAACACAGAACACTACGAGTCATATGAGATCTTGAGTGATAAAAACTGCACAGATTAAACTGGATTGAACCCTGATAAATCACTGTTGCTAGGATGAGTTAAAAAGCCCTTGTTGACTGTGTCGGAGAGTATTCTTGGTAGCTACATATACTCACCCATCACGTCTCATCCTGCGTGTGAGGTCGTCACATCGTTTCTTCGTCTCCACAAAGATGATGGTCTTGTTCTCTTTCTCAGCCATTATCTCCTCCATCAGCTGGATCAACCTGAGCAAAACAAAAAGAGTAACAAGTAATTAATATAAACGCAGACCCACCCACTTATAACCTGAAAATCAATCTTTACATCAAGAGTAATGAGGGGAAAGGAAGAAGTAAACAAGAAAACGGTGAGATGCAAAAAGAATAAACCAAGGAATATTACAAAAAAGAAGATAATACAAACCAAAGAAACCATAATAAGGAGGAGAAACAGAAAGATCTTCTCTATGACCAGTCTTACTTGTGGTCCTTCTCATTCTCCATACAGACATCAACAATCTGAAGGATGTTATGGTTAGCACTGAGCTCCAGTGCTCCAATATTGATTTGGACATAGTCCTTCAGGAAGTCCTCTGCCAGCTGCCGAACCTCTTTAGGCCAAGTAGCGCTCCACATCAGGGTCTGTCTGTCGGGCTGCGAGAGCATAAACAAGTAAAATGACTGCTTCCTTAAATAAAAACAAACTAAGCCTGATGTACAAACTAACAAAGCAGGAGTTTATCTGCTGCTAAAAGACATTACTGATCAAGCTTCTGAATCAGCTGATCCCTTTTATTAGCTTCACCCTGATTTGGTCCACAATTTTGCGAATCTGCGGTTCAAAACCCATGTCTAGCATGCGGTCGGCTTCATCCAGAACCAAGTATGTGCAGCGTCGCAGGTTGGTCTTTCCAGCTTCAAGGAAGTCAATCAGACGGCCCGGTGTGGCAATGCAGATCTCAACACCTAGGAGAGACAAACTCAGTAAGTCTCCGTCATCAGTTCTAGTCTAATTCAGTGTAGATTTAATGTGACACAGCTGTTTAAATTGACTGGGGCAGTTATTTAGCACAAAACTGCATTGGTGTTAGTTCAAATAGCGAATACTCCTCACCTCTCTCCAGGTCTCGGATTTGAGGTCCCTTTGGCGCGCCCCCATACACACAAGTACTTTTGATGCGGGATGACTTTCCATAGTCGTATGCCACCTGCTGGACCTGCTGCGCCAGTTCTCTTGTGGGAGCCAGAACCAAGCACTGCAAATCACACATATAATGTCATAACTATCAAGTTTTTATAATGTGACATACCTTAAAGTTGTGTAAGATGACTTTTATTATTATTCTTGTAAACTCTTATATCCCGAAACAGACAATTCATTAATTAGTGTGTTCTGTTTCTCTTCACATACAATTGGTCCATCTCCACGTTCCAAGTAGGGCTGATGGTTGATGTGCACTATAGCAGGCAGGAGATACTGAAGAGAGACAAAGGGGGAAGAGATCAGTGGATTTTGCTGCTGTGCAATTCCCCAGAATGTTATGTATCAATCATTCCAGGTACAGGAATAGAGAACGATATGGATCTCACCGCTAAGGTCTTCCCAGAGCCAGTCTGAGCAATGCCCACCATGTCTCTCCCGCTGAGGGCCAGAGGGAAACCTTGTGCCTGAATGGCTGTGGGCTCTTTGAAGCTCTGCTGCATCAGTACATCCATGACATATTCTAGAGGAAGAGGCCATTAAAACATCCCCTGGTTATTTGTGTTAGCAGCCACAGATTTGGTGTTGTTGTTGTAGTGACAGTGTACATACATAGTTCCACAGGTTTCTAAGTGTGTGTGTGTGTGTGTATATATATATCTTTCTGTGCATGTACTTACGGGGAAACTGTGCCTGATGAAAGTTGGTGACAGGTTTTGGGCAGTTCGAACCTCGAACAGTAATTTCTTTCTTTCTGCGGTACTCCTCAACATCATACTGAAAGCACAAGTGTGTGACAGCATCAAAAACAACACAGACTAAACGTCAGCACTGCGATATTTTTATTACACTACTCTCTTTTCATGCCCAAACCAAGCTATGCATTAGGCAGCTTCACCAGGAGACCAGACTGACTCTGCAGGAATACCTGGCTCAATCGCTGCACTTCCACGTGTTCACTATAGAAGTTCTTCTCAAACTTGGGAAGATCATCTAGGTCCCATCTCTTCTTTCGTAAACGGTCCCCGGGGTTCCCAAACTTTTTGCCCGGCGGTGGGCCGCCTCTGCTGGACCCGAAACGAGGGCTGCTGCAAAATGGTAAAACACAGATAGTATAGGCAGCTTTACGAGAACCTGCCGGCATGTGACGCCGATGTTATCACCGTTAATCAAATCAAACGCACCAAAACATTTCATAATGACAAACAACGGTTCGCGCTAGCGTTAGCTAACACGCTAAGTGACTGTGTTGAATTAACGTGAGCGGCTCACCCTCTGTCACGGCCACGGTCTCTACCTCTGTCTCCGTACGAACCTCTCATTTTGATGACTAGCGCTCAGCTATGACGGGTAAAGCAGCTGCTTAATGTCGCGGTTCGGTCCGCGGAGCTTTTCGCTCAGAAAAGTTACCTGGCTGTTGCTTTTCGTTGCCGGTTCAGGCCTTGCTTCAAAAACAACTAAACCCTGTATTTTAGCCAAATGCTAACAATCAGAGCACGTACTAAATGAACAAATTGGCGTTTTTATAGATAAAGAAAAGATATTATACCAAGCGACGTTCTCGCTGTGGTGAATGTAACTACACTTTAGTGAACTAACGCGATGACAAGGTTCGTTGTTGTTGTTGTTAGCTTTGTGATCAGCCGGTATGCTAAAGCTAATGTGATTGGCTGATTTCTGAGGAAGCCCCGCCCCTAAATCACTTACGTGTTTATAATTAAAGTATTTGCCACGTTATAGAAAAGAAAACTCGATTAATGTACTTTACTAAAGCAGAATCACTGTCCAATGCAACCAAACGGCACGTTGTTGACCATGGTATCTGAAAGCTGCCTAACAAAAACATGGAAGACATCTTGTTTCCATTTATCGTTTATTCCCTTTTCAACAACATAAACCAATATAGCCTCAAAACATCAAGTATTACCAATATACAAAAAGTCTGCAATAGAAACAAAACAACAGGATATAGATAACATATTAAAACAAAATATTCAAACAAAGCACTATACCAAGTAATGCCTTTACAGTCACTATCATGAATGTTTTGCAGTGCTCAGTTTGACTATTTACAACATTTTTTTTCTGGTATAATATTCCCTGGTTTTACATTTGCAACTTTTCCATTAACATCCAGCTTTTAAGTCACAAAGTATGACAGCTATCATTTGACAATGTTTTGAATCAAGATGTTCGAGTTTAATATGCCGTTACTTTGGGGCAAAAATTTAAGGCATCAAATGTAATCTTTTCAGTACTGAGTTAATGTTATGTTAATAGAGTAAATTCACTCAAACTTGCTTTTAACTGAAGCATTAGACAGATACAAATGTGAAGCATTAATCTATAGAGATGAGGTGGGTGGAAGAAACCAACTTTGCGTCCAGCTGTGGAGGATTCCAGTTCACAAAAACTTTAACAGAATATGATTTTCTCAGGAGAATGGAAAGAGGACTGTGCACTGCTGAAGAAGCTGCATATCTATTTGGCTGTTACATGTTTCATCCTGACAACATTCATTAATCACAAAGACTGTACTATATGTTTGTTTACCTGCAGTCAATATACTTCGAGTCAGTCTGTTAAGTCTGGATACTGCACTCAACAATACAAACAGAAAACACTAACCACACATTCAGAGGCAGCACTGGGCCTTATGTCACCCGTCCAGAGGATCTAGTCAGCATTTATATAACAGTACCAGCAGAGGTAGGCCAGATCTGTGCTGCATGTAATGCCCTTCATTATAGGATTACAATTCACGGCACATCACAGCTGGGCCGGTTCTACAGGGAGCGGTGCTTCTTCCGTAATCTGTGTGGCTGTTGTCCTTCCATCAGTCCCACTGCCCACATGCTAATCTCTCCTACATCTGTTCCCTCGGTGCTCCACTACATTAACATTGTGCACAGAGCCCCAGTCACTCACACTATTACACTTTTGATTCACTTGCTCATTTGAGCCCATAACAAAATAAACACATACACAGAATATTTATAACATTTCTGGAATAATAATTTTCCATCAAACTAGTGTTTAAACGAGTTATACCTTCAAGGCTTTACAACATTTAAATAAACAATGTGATTAAATGCTTTTATATTAAAATAAAGCCCTGCTATTCTGACTTCTCAGTTTTGTTTGACTACGTGTCAGTTCTAAATCTTAAGACTGTATCTCATCAAGTACTGCTCCCTGTTTGGAAGCAAGAGGCAGAGGTGTGAGGAGGAGAGTGCATTAAGAATCAGTACAGAAACTCAAGGATGAAGGAGGTCGTGTGTTTCAGGTGAAGATGGCACTTAATTTCTCTATATGTTTTCCTGCTGTGGTGTCTAAAGTGCAGCATAAACAATGCTACATGCAGGCACTATTACTGGTACTGATCAACAAATGACAGTAGACAGTGCATGTCTCAGTAACTACGTCCAAGACAAACCTTTCCTCGACTTTGTAACATCTCTCTCTTTTTCTATTTCCTCTTTTTGAATGTAAAACACTGCAGTCTGATAACCACATTTTCATAGGTCTGAAATAAATCTCATCTTTCATTTCTATCTAAATGTAAGAAAGCTGAAGGTCAGGGTTGAAACAAAAGACCTGATTTGTCTCACGTAGCTGCTGAAAGTTCAATATGGGCTACAGGAGTAAAGTGGCGCTGTGTGTGTGTGTGTGTGTGTGTGTGTGTGTGGGGGAGGCTCAGAACTCATCGTCGGAGCTGAGCAGGAGGGTCTTTTCATTGTCTCCACGGGTGCTAAGGTTACTGTGGCTGCGGGAGAGGGGTGGCCCCCCACTTCGCTCCAGGGTGGATTGCTGGGTGTACTGCTGATAAGCTGGGGAGAAATTATGGATGGCATCTTGGACCATGTCCCCTGGATTCATGGTCTCCTTCAGGCTGCTGGAGATGCTCTTCATCGGGGCACAGTGACCTAGAAGTGGGGCGGAAAGGTGAAATATTAATAAAGAGACACTGAGCAGGAGGGATGGGTGAAAGACACACGACTAAAGGACATCCAACTGTCAAGTGTTTTTTTTTTTTAACAGAGCTTTGAAATGTTGCAGAAAAATTATAACTTCATGATATAATCTAGTTTTGTTCATGGAATTTGTGTATAGTTCAATGAGTGTATGCATAATTTTGTTTTTGGTCTTTGTGGGACAATCTTGTGAGATCAGTAGATTGTCTGAATAGAGGTAACCACTTGGTGCACCTTTTGGCAAGAAGTTGACTGACACTCATTATTGATGGTCAACCATGAAAATGAAAAAGGCAGATGAAATGTCAGTGCATTTGTCTCCTGTGCTCATGTGTGCTAGTTTGATCTAAACATGAAACACCTCACTGATCTGGGTGTGAGAACCCTCATTTTTCTCCCAAGATGGTTTGAAGTGCCAAAGGCACATGTTATTAATACCACCGTCTAACTTCAGCTCCCATTCACTTCAGTTCTCATCATCTTCATTTTCTTGTTCACACAAATGGGTTTCAGCTTCTGGCAAGCAGGGGCAGGTTAGACAGAGAGGGAGAAAGAGGGGACCTCTGAATCTGAGCACAGACTAAAAACTGTGCAAGGAGCAACGAAAAAGGAAAAAAATGTGCAAAGGGCTGGAATCACTGGCAGAGTATACGGAAAACAAAACAAACAAAAAAAAAAAAACCCCACGATCCTAAATTTATACACCAAATTCATGCTGAACTGAAAATCATGACACACCTGAGATGTTCAATAGACATTTAACCACAATCAGACAAAAAGCAAATGAAAAGCACTGAAACAACAAGAACAACTGTAGCAGATACAGAGGAAACAGCTAACATCTAGACCTACCATACTGTCCGTAGATTGGAAATGAGCCTTTCAGTGCAGCACAGTGAAGAGAAAAAGGAGAAGAGGTAGAGACACAAGGAACACATGAAAAGTCAAAGACAGAAACACAGGAAGAGAAAAACAGCAGGAGAAAAGAAAATGACTTGAAATATTCTGTGTTAAAGACTGGAACCAAAGTAGAAGAGTCGAACACAGGGGGAGGAGAGTCAGGTCTGAGGGAGTGCAGAAACCACACTGTATAAAAATATCCTCTCTGTATCAGGACAGATTATTAAAGTACACACACCAACATGCAGGCTGTTGCCATTACTTCTCCAATCTTAATTATACCAGCCTCTTAATACCCCCATTGCCCCAAACATGCACAGGCACATACAGAACACATACATGCATTTCCCCTACCATACGAGTCCAGTCTTTTATCCATGTAGACTTTGTAAGTAAAGGCATGGCGCAGAGCCACAGCAGCAAAGAACATTTCAATGCAGATGATGAAGTTTTGGTAACCAGCAGCAACTGTTCCCTCGCCCACAGACAAGTCAGCAGAGCTGATCTGAGGGATGGCACCGCACTTCTCTAGGATGGCAAGCAGCATCCCTGAGAGACAGAGTGAGAAAACAGGAGGAGTTACAAGCAGGTTTTCATTCACATTTGAGTGCATTTTAAATCCGTGCATGAAAAAAACCTGACTTGAGATTCAGAAGCTAAAACACCTGCCAGGAAAAGTGAAATGCTGGCAATCCAAAACGTAAAAATGAACGGCAGCAGCAAAACCACCACCCAGAGGAAACACATGCACTCAGGAAGAACACAGCTGTAATATTCACACAACAAGACGGGGACAGTTACAGGTTAGCATTTTCTTTTGCCAACATTTTGGAAATTCTCATAAAATGTTCCCTATATTTGCATGAAAACGTGCATAGAAGTTCCTGAACAAAATGCACATCATCATAACTAAGTTTGTGTTTTTGCATGTGATTGTGTGGTCTTCTCACCCTGCCAGAAGGAGAGAAAGATGACCGACTTGACCATGAAGAACTTGAGCACGGGGTTGTATGGGACAAGCAGTTCACGTGTGGCAAAGTAGAAGAGGAAGAGAGCGTAGAGGGACAGACTGACGGAGATGTTGTAGACAATGGTCACGTACAGGTAGCCACTGGCCACACTGGAGAAGACAGGCACGGTGAAAAGAGAATCATGTAAACAGAGATACCCTTAGCTATGACACATAGCTGATGTCTGTGAGCAGACAGGTAAACTGCTGCCATTTCAATTCATCATCAACGAAGTAACACTGAAGATAAGAATCAACTTCAAGCTACACAACAGCAATTTCAATTACATTTGGCCAAAGAGTAAAAACCATTTAGTGTCTCCGACTTGGGAAGGAAGCTGATGAATATATTCTTTAAGATGATTATTTGGACTGTAAAGCAGCATTCAATGTTTTATAGAGGCACTCATCAGGGATTTTAGAATTGCACAGAAGAAATAACATTAGATCTTTCACTCATTACAGATGTGGACTTTCTGCATTCAGAAAGCTCAGCCGTTATGGTCTGGAAACACTTTTGGCTGAAGCAGATCAGCATCAGTGACAGAGACAGAACAAGGGATCACTGATCAGGGAGAGGTTTATACTGTGAATAACAGTGGCTAAGCTGCTGTGGAAACATACTTGAAGTCACCATCTCTGTATTTCCCAAAGGCCTGAAGAATGACAGTGATCATTGCCATCAGGGGTTTCACCACACAGAACTGCAGTGTTGCCTGAGGAAGCAAGTGTGAGAACGCTTGTGAGGTGATAAGTAAGCATGGTAGGAAAACAACAGGATAATTATATCTGGAGAAATACCAGGTCAATAAAAAAACAGCAATGCTACACTAGTTTGAAATCCTATAGTGTTTTCGCATTAAATCAGTGAGTCAAACCAGTGTCATTAGTTCAGCTGATCCTACTGAGAACTGACAAACACACTTTGCTTCATTGCTTAGCGAAGTGTATGAGTATTTAGAAAAACATTATTACTATATGAGACATACAGTTGTTCAAATAAGCTTAAACTTTGAACAAGTAGATTTTCATACCAATAGTAAATTTACAGAAAACAGCATCATGAACCACATTGGGCAGGATGTGTTCCTTTATTATTAAACACAACGCATAAGCATAAAGTTTAGTGCCAAATAGGATCAAAAACACAAGGAATCTGACTCCAGCCCAACACTTAAACTTAATCATACCCTTTGACTGTTACGAGCCAAGATGGTGATTGTACCTGTTTGCAAAACCTGAGGAAGCCGATGGAGTAGGCCTTGCCCCACAGACAACAGGTCCCGTACACACAGCTTGACCTGAAGTGAAGAATCATACTGTTCACAACTGTTGGAAAAGTGTGTGTTTGTAATTTTAACACAAAATGAATTAATTGTTATACCAGACAGAAAGAGACTTACTCAATTGGTTTCCCTCTGATCTCAGCCATGATGGCGCTCTCTCCTCCCAGATATTCATAACACAGACTCAGGAAGTTGTAGATGACAAAGGCTGCAGTGTCACACACAGAAAAATACTTTTTCCAATGTGATTGATCATTGGTGTGTGTAAAAACACTCCCAGATTCCGTTACAGCTATAAAACATATGTTTAACTAGACTACTGTGAGTGCTTAATGCATGAGATACAAAGACTGGCCTGATGGTTAGAAAAAACAGCAAATACACATTATATAGGGGATGAACCCAGTGTTGCTGATGCGGGTCTGAAACACTATCTGCCTCCAGTAACACACTGATTCATGGTAGCTCCAGATGACGTGTCAGAACTGCTGAGCTCACCGTTTCAAGGTAGAACGTTATTCCCATCAGCAGGCTTAGAAATGACTGGGCAATGGGTGTGTATGAGGCATAAGCCTAAGCATGATTACAAGGTATACTGTTGTCTAGTGCCGAGAGCAGACGTGGAGCAGTGTGATCACGGGACACCTGTGGAAACATTACCGAGGAAAGCCAACGCTGGAGAAAGCTTGTGATGGGTAAATGAAATGGCTCAGAGAAACATTCTCACAGCAAATAATGGTCTTACACAAGTGAACTATACACACTTACAGTAAAGCTGTGATGTTCACTACAGTATGCCTTGTCTTTCTTCTCAAACTCCACACAAATGTCTGTTGAAATTCCTATGACTGTATGTTATAGGTTGGTAGGATAAAGAACAAGGTCGATTTATCTGCTCAACCCAAGTGAGATGTCTTTTAAAAGTCTTCTCAAGGCTTTGTTCATTTTCATACAGTTGCTAGGAAACAGGCTTCCCCTCCCCTGCAATCCCAACAGGCCACAGAGACAAGAGAACAAAGATGGCAACCTTTGTAAATGAAGACTGCAAGGGCCATCTGCCACTGGGGTACCACAACACAAATTCTCACACCCTTATTTCTACTGGGAATCAAGAAACATGCAATGGAACACTCACGCTTATCACTGTGGTGAATACTGGCCTACAGTGTGGGTGCAAAAAAGGGCAGTCAACAGCCTACGTAGCCTGTGGCAGAAAATGCTGGTATACTGGCCTACAGTGTGGGTGCAAAAAATGGCAGTCAACAGCCTAGCCTGTGGCAGAAAATGCTGGTGTGCCAGTTCACAGAACTGTGTTCCTCTGTCCACTCACCTTCGTAGCAGTCTCGGACTGTATCAAAGTACACATAATACTCCTCATTGGTGAAGAATAGAAGGCTGAGCCAGGAGTCGAAGGCATAAATGGGGACTATGAAGAGGATCCTAACTATATGCCTCTGTTCATTTGGTGAGCTGTAGTAACGTAGGTGCATGTAGATCTAAAAGAATAAAAGAAAAGGAGAGGACAAACAGGAGACATCAAAATAGTGATACAAGGGCAGAAATCTTAGAACATACAATATATAACAACTGAGTACACCCCTGTGCAACATCAATAAAATGTTATGACTCAAACTTTTTACCATCGTACAGCTCTAAGCTGAAGTGTAGGATATTTGAACAAACAGGTTATATACAAACACACACACACACACACACACACCACAGTGAAAATAATGGCCCCACGTTTCAACCTCTATACAACAAAGTCTGTTTACCTGTTACCAGTGCAACAAAAGTGACTGCATCTGTGATTTCCAAATGAAATGCACAGGCAACGTTATAAAATCCTATGAACACAACAGCTTTAGTGTTTAATGCAACATGTTCTCTACATGGTGAGGAACTGCCTTGAGCCAGTGAGAAACCAGACTGAGAGACTTCATAAAGAAGGGCACCAGTAGATACTGAACATCAGCTGCAGCAGTGGTTGCGAGGTACAGGAAGAGCCATAGTGCCAGTAACAGAAGCCACAGTGGTTGTCCACACTCACCATTAGCTGTTTACATTGAAAACCAGAGTAAGTGCTTCTGACCTAACACATGGGCCCGACCAGAGACTGTAAAACATGGCAGAGGGAGTGTGCTGATATGGAGCTGCAAAGGTGTAGAGTAGATGACATGTACATATGGCCCACATACTGAGTGAGAAGAACACTCCCGGTCTCAAAAAGCTTGTTTCCAACATGATAATGATCCCAAACATGCTGCAAAGAAAAAAAAAAAGTCACACAAAGGAAAAATGAAAAGTAATCTGGCCGAGTCTGTCCCCTGACCTGAATCCAATACATCATCTCTGGATCATTTTCAAGATAGAAACAAAGCAACAAAAACCCTCCAGCAAAGAATAATTGAAAAGAATCTGTGGACAATGACAGAACATCTCTCCACAGATCTTTCATCGTAGGTTAATCAGTCAAACATTTCTGTTTTTCAAATAAACTGGCTTCATTGATCACACACCCATGTGTGTGGGTGATGACTGAATACAGCATGTTCTTTATGAGTAAAACTTTAGCTTTTAACTTGTGTACAACTTTAGCCTTGCAACCTAAGCTGCTATGGGAGAACTTTTTTCTTGATGGCATCACAATAAATCATACTGACACTTCCCAGTACATTTGCTCATGCTATTAAAACTGCATAAGCAGAAAGTGATATTAAATAACCTAAGGAGAGTGAGAAACACATGAAAGGCTGGCAAGAAGTAGAACGTGCAGTGTAGATTTATAATTGTGAGAAATGTGCAGAATGTCTCAAAAATAGGTTCTATGCATGAAAACATGTCAGTGCATAGTTTATATTTCATTTTTGAAATAACGCATATGTCACATTTAGAAAATAAGAAAAGATAGTGGGAGGGGAATACGCATTAGCTGCCTTCCTGTGAATGTGGTGGACTAACGGGTCAGCTGGAACTACCTGCTACTTCATGAATCCTGTATGCGTGTTCTCACCAGGCTCTAGTCTGTCTGTACAGGTCAGAATACAGCCAGTGTACATTTGCCAGAGTTGGATACTGGAGTACTGTGTTGGCAAGGTGTGTGTGTGTGTGTGTGTGTGCACTAACGTGGGGGTGTTTTAGGTAACTGATACAGGGTTTTTATCACTCCTATTCAGAGCAGCAGACAGCAGAAAGAACAGGGTGGGCCTGTGTCACCACCACCTCTGTCTCCTCCATCCAGCTCCATTCCACTTACACAATGTCTCTCCTATCACCTTTCCTGGCCTGTAAACAGACACACACCTGTGGTAAAATAACAAACAAGCCAAGCGAGATAATGCACTCTGCTCATAGGGCTTGTTGCTAGGTGACCCTCCTCCTCCTCCTTCGTACACACACACACACACACACACACACTCCCTCACACCCATCCCCTGCTCTTTGATGATGTACAAGTGGAGCCTGAGCACCCGTTGCCAGAGTGACAAAAGGCTCGCTTTTAACCCTGTGTGTGAAGAGCAGCAATAAAAAATAAAAAAAAAATTATCACGGACCAAAAGGGACGGACAGAAACCTGAGAGCTGACAAACTGACACAAACAACACATATTCACTGTACCGCACTTCTATGCAACATCTACTATAGACACTTCTATGTTCCAGACAGTGTTCGCCGAGGTCTTGTCATACTTCTGCCATAGCTAGGCTGCATCAAGTGCTTGTCCCAAGCTGGGTGTGTTTCAGGGGCACAAATCCATCCATTATCTATGCCACTTATTCCTGAAGAGGGTCACGGGCACAAATCAACTAGTCAATCAATCCTACTACCAGCTGCCAGAGGCGGCACAAAATGTCCCAAAGAAAAAAAAAACAGTAGGTGCACGTTTGAGAAGCTGTTCTTGTGTCATTTAAGCTATGTTAAGGAGGATGGATTTGGCAGATTTTAGGCAAGAAGTCTGAATAAACCTCACTAGAACTTATAGTTAAACCAGATTTTCTTGTTCATAAAGAAATAGGTTCATTAAAATACTGCTTTCATTACATTCACACAAACATTAAATGTGTATGAAACAAACATTCAAGTGTAAGTATTAGCAAATGTGCAACAAGGAGTGCAGACAAGCTAAGCAAAAATGTGCTAGGTGTTTGAAAGAAGCCGTCTTTGGCCGTCTGAGGACAAAACTACGTGCATGCGTGTGTTTGGTGTGGGCAGATGAACAGGGGGCTGACAGAACAGTACTCCTAGGAGTGAATGTATCTAGTGTTTAAGTACTGAGTAAAAGTATTCTTTATGCAGAATGATCAGCACAATGATATATTACTCAATTTCAACTGTTTATGTATTAAAGTGTAAACATTTTAATGTTGCAGCTGGTAACGCCGGTGATCATTTTAATCACATTTTATAGTTATTGAATTTCCCCAGGAGATCAATAAAGTCTTACCTTAAACTATAATAACGCATCAGAATTTATTTACAGCAATTTATACTATTAATCTGAATAAGCAAAGTCACTCAAGTTATCAGTTAAATGTAATGGAATACTTTCCTCTGAAAATATACTGGAGTATAAGTATAAAGCAGCATAAAAATATTATATTCAATAAAAGTACAAATACCTAAAATGTATTTCCAGCACTGATAATAGTGCAGTACATTTAAGAAATAACCTCCTTATTCATTTCCAAAGACCATAACATTGGCAACAGGGTCTCCCCACTGCACAGAAAGGTACAAGTTCAACTTGAACCCCCTGGCCACTAGGCCTCTGCAGCCTCCAAGTGTAGGGCTCTTACCTGGTGGCATGTGATCAGAAGAGCTGTCCAAACAAAAAACCCTGAGATGGTTTGGGCTGTGGACGTCATGAGAAAAATGGGCTCTTCTGGTGTGACCACAGGGGTTTCTGGTACCGAAGAGGAGTTGGATCCTCGCGGGGCCATAGTGACTAAGGACCCTGGGGCGAGGCCAACTGGAGAGTTGTTCCCCAGCCTCTCTGACAGTGGGATGTCTCGCCGCCAAAGTTGACTCATCTGTATGAAGACAGGGTGTAGAGGTGACCTCATCAACCATGATGCCCCATATGCAATACAAACTAATGTCGTTTAGACATTTTAAATATGCAGCAGCTATGGTCAGCATCATTCAGCTGCAGAACCTTATGTTCCAGGTAATAAAGCCTAAACGCAACACTATAGTGCATCGCAACAGGCGTGCACAGTCTAAGACCTAAATCTCAGGCCAACATCCACCGATGTTAGAAACAAAAACAGAGCAAAAGTGATTTTCTAAATAGATGAAGCAAGATCAAAACACAGTGATGGAGGAGAAATGAGGTGGGTGGGTGAGGGAGGGAGATCACACCAACACAGCAAATCAGTATGACAGCAAGGAGCTGAGGGCTGCTGACCCAATTTCTCCCCTTCTTTAGTGCAATGTCAGCAGAATGTTAAGACTGTCAAAATGAAAACAAGGATTCATTAATGAAAATAAAACAAATGTACAACATAATCACACAGCATTGATTTGGACAAATGAAAACAAGAGAGGAGCCGGCGACATCAAACATCCAGAAAGATGCTCCATGTGCCGCCACCCCCCCCATTAACAGATCACCACAGACCTGAGTGCTGTCATCTCTCCAGTTACGTCAGTGCCTTGGGGTGGATTTCAGGAAGGCGATAATCTAATCAACCACAGTGAAAACTAATTTCACAATGACTTTCAAACCCCCTGTGCACCAGCTAAATAGAAGTTGGTGCTCAGAGAGTGGTCATGGATCACTAGCGCTGCTTGCCACTGCTTCAATCAGCTTCTGGCAAAGCAGTCACTAGGAACACATCAGTGCTTCATATGCTCCAGTGTTTAACTATCCAGGAAAAGAACCTGCAAGAAAACCAATTCACGACAGCATAGACCAGGGGTAGGCAATGCCACTGCCATGCTTGTTTACCTGCTATTTCTGCCCTACTCACTGCTGAATACCCGGATCAGGTGTGTTCAATCAGAAGCTGGAAGCTCTTGTGATCAGGGTGCAATTTTAAATTGGTGTCAAAGGGTTGGGCAATAGATCAGTCATTTATTTTATTTCTGACAAAAGTTGCCTAGTTACATTCTGGCACATTGATTTCTGATACAGAAAACAGTTTGACTAGGTCGTGGTCTGTGTGGTGCTGGTCACAAGCACCACCAACACCGACCAAGTTCGATGCTTACCGGTGGGTGACAGGCAGCAGACAGGCGACCTATCAGTCCTGTTGACTGCACAGAGGATAGATTTCAACACATGCATTGTACTTTGACCTAAATCGAATCAGCAGTGTCTAAGACAGGTCGTCATATGTCCTCGGGTTAGGAGAGCTGCCTGAACATAATGTAAAGCTTCAGGCAGAGGCAGAGAAAACAACGGGGCTATAGGCAGCTGTGCACACAAGTCACTTTAATTGGGCTAAGGGATCCCTTAAAGACAGACAGGGATCCCTTAAAGACAGAGAGGGATCCACAGCTTAAACAATCTGTTTGGTGAACTAAAAGATAGAAGGGGGGGGGGGGGGGGGTGTAAATCCAGCGAGGGCAATATTGGCCTCAGTACAGCTGGTTTTGTTTCGAGAGTGGCAGAGAGTTAAAAAAAAAAATCACATTAAACGGTTTTTTTAAGTGATAGCTGGTGTTCAGTGCTCATTCCTCCATCATGCTGATTCACTTACCGCCTCTGCAGTTGTTTGAATCCAAACATCAAGTTAGCTCATCATCAAGTCGACCGCAGACCTTTTGGAGTTCAAACTGTGATTTGTCCAAGCGGTAACATTCAGACGACAGCAGGTCACTTGTGTCGTCACTGCATATTTGTTTGAACCCCGGAAACTTGGCTCTTTCTATAAAGATAGCAACTGTCGGCAGATGAGCGCTACTAGCTAACGTTAGCTAGCCTCTATTGCCTGACACTAGCCTGCTGTTCCTTCCCTTTCTCAAGTCAAATTAAAGAAATAAAACTTTCGGAAAGAAAAAGCGACTCTACACTCAAATCCTGTGTCCAAATGTCTATTAAGGATAGTTATATTTCTATTTCCCCACCCGAAGCTGATGAACCGCACACCGTTATTTCATCCATATCACCGCCAGCAGTCCACTGTATCAAACAGCAGCTGCCAACACAACTACGCTCCTGGCGCATGCGCAGTCAAGTTTTAGGGATTCTCGGTCTGTCCCACTGAATATTAACCTTCTATATCTATTGTGTACTGTGAAATTCAAAATCTCCAAATACCACCGTAAACACTTCCACACGGAACAGTAAGTAAAGGTGATCGTTATTTTATTACTTCATAAAATATACACAAATACTGTTGTAAATACAAGTGTTAAAGAACTGTACAATATATCCGTACACAATACATAAAATGAAATCCCTTCACCTCAGCGTCTTAACCATCCCCCAACCCTAAAGTTGTAATGCCACTGGGTCATGTTGGTCTGTACGAAAGGTATTGCACACAGTACACTGCTATTTACACATCCCTACAATTGCATTAGTTATGTTTTCTTCTGAATGATGACATGAAAATTGCTGGATGCTAAAATCCAAAGGTGACAAAAATAGTTTTGCATAATGAATACCGAGAACCTTATGTATTCCATGGTATGGAGAGACAAGCTCCGAAGCATAACAGAATAAAAAGACAGGCAACAAAATACTTCTAAGTTACAGGAGGATGAAACAATAAAACAAAGCTGTTTGATTAAAAAAAAAAAAGAAAAAGTTTAAATAGCAAAAATAAGTTTAAAAATCTGAATACTAAAAGACAAAATGAATCTTATAGTCTTTGCAGGGATTCTCTGTAACACACACACACACACACACACACACACACACACAGTTGATGACCCAGCTGGCAAAGCAATAGTAGCCCATTCCACAATTTGGTACATTAAGTACATAAAATTGTGAACCCAACCCGTTTGTCATTAGTATGCATTTTCCTAATTTACACATAAAACAACCACATTTTGGCTTTATGTCAAAATAAAAAACTATATTTACAGAGGAGTTAAAAATAAATCACTGGATACCCCATCACCACAAACGTCATCCTTATCAGAGCCAGTCTGCTCCTGTGAGCTCCAGTAACAAAAGAATAAAAACATTAAGAACTGTCAAAAAAAATTTGCAGCCGCCATTTGTTAGCCAAAATGGGCAGCTATGGTCTCTGGTCAAATACGGTGAGAATTTCCTGAGGAGCTTCCCTCAAGACTTGGGAGTGTGTCTTTGCAATGTCTATGGTCATTCTTCATCTTACCCACTCACTTTAAAACCAAACATGGTGGTTTTGGTGGCTGAGTTCTGAGGGACAGTGAATCATTATGTCGTTCACCAGAAATATTACTCTACAACAGCTAAAACATCACTTACTAATGCTTTTCAGTCACCCTTTTCTGCCCACTACCTACCTCCTCACCTGCCTCTCTCCACATTTCCAACATATAGTTACTTTTGTCAAAAAAAGCAAAGAACTGATGAGAAGCTTTGTCCTCATGAAAGATAAAATATATGACATTCACTGAAAAGTTGCTTTTGCTGTTTTACAAGTGAAAAAGATGAATCTTTACTAAGCCTATATCAATCACGATGTTGACCTTTGATGAGTAACGTACATGTCCCTAATGCCTTTTTGCCTCCGATGCCAACAATTCTTCACATTTGTCACATTGAAGGTACTGAGGGAATGTTCTCAGGAAGAGGGGCGCAGGTATGAGCAAACAAAGTATCAGTGATGTAGAACAATCATTCATTTGCTTTTTGTATTGTTGTGGTGGTGGTGATCCACGCTTTAGAAAAGAGGGTTCATTGAAACAGTACATGTTGGATTTATAAGATTTACTGTCATTTTCCCAAGACATCGTATGGAGGAGTGATGAATCCATCTCACAATCCTGCAACAAGTGAATTGTTAGTCATTAGAGGAGCCAGTGTTGTTGTGACAAGTATATTTCTGCAGTTAGCATGTGAAAAAAATTGATGAACATAGGCCCAACCTGTCAGCTTCATGTGCATGCGGAGCCAAGGAAGTCTACTTGCCCATGTGCTCAAACGGTACGCTGACCTGCAAAAGGAACAGAACTGAGACTCAAGACGAGGAATTACCAGTCTACTTCTCTCAGGCCCAGGCCCACACACACACACACACACACACACACACACCAGTTCCCAGGACACATATTTGTGCAATGTTGCTCAACAACAGCATTGTTTTGACAACTTGGCAAACTGATTTTATAAGACCACTTTACTTTACTTTATAAGTAAGCATGCTAGTGAAGCCAATCAATAAATACATCTGTTAATATTGTATTATGCACTTTTGAAACCATGCCAGAGAAGCACTGGTTTAATTCTAGGCTAGGTTTTAATGCCCAGTCTGTGGTGCTATTGTACTGTGTTGGATTAGATTTTTCCACCAGCTGTACAAACAAGACATGTACTGTGGGAAGAAGGACCGGATAACCGATTACTCACAGAATTTTCACATCAAAATATCGTGGGTCACAATTTGCATACTTAACTGAAAACCATTAAGTCTGCACCAAATTGAAAAAGACAATGTTGTGATGCTGATCCACATCATCCACTACTCACTCAAGACCGTCTATTGGTCTCCCTCTATAGCTGCGACCGAGTACCACCACCCAAAGAGCTGTTAGATCACTGCACTGTTCACTTAATTAACACACATGTCATGCTAGTTGGTGCCTGTAATGTCCAGCATGTGCAGTGTGTGTCACCTTGTCAACCAAAGGAACTGCAGTGTTTTCTCACCTGTGATGTGGAAATTCTGGATTGGTCGTGACGGGCTGTGAGGTCAGAGGATGATACATTGGCTGGAGCCCCACGGTGGAGTCGCATGCTCACCTTCCTCTCCCTCTCTGCACGAGAAATTGCACGAGGCGATGCGTTCCCTGGAAGGATGTGTTAGGTATTTTCTTAGTTAGGTAGATATTTAGAGATTTGTTGTCTAGAAATGTGTAAGGCAGACAGGATGTCTAGCTCAGGCTGTTAAATGCTCAGTTCATTGTCATGAGTTCTGCAGGCTGCATCTAGGCCAAGGTCACTAGATTGAAGAGTGCAGATGAATATTGCTAGTAGCATGATATGCTCAGCCGTAATCTTAATCATAACATTTTCTGAGGCTTACTGTTCGGACATGTCCCTGAATGTCCTGTATGTTTTTAGATACACACCACTAATCAACAGCCACACACTTTAATTTTCTCCATGTTTTGACTACTGCTCTGG